AACATTTGAGAGGACCTAATTGCACAAGGGGGAGAAAAAAAATCCCTGCTGTCGAACCTGCGTGGGTACTTCCAGTAAGCGCTTTTCCAATGAACCCTACGGGAACTCTTCTGTGCCAGCTAGTGTAAATCAGCATAGTTTTGTTGTCTTCTGGGCAGCTAGGCGGATCCTTCACTGCTGTGCATCCAGCTCTTTCAAGCCAGAAGGTGAGGAAAGCAAACTGAAATGTTGTCTAAGGGTTTTCTGGGAAGTGCAGTCAGGATTGCGGCACTAACCTGACTCCGACCTCCACCCCCCCCCATTTTAAGAGGAGAGTCTGCTCTCCAAATCCACTGCAGCAGCTACAGCCCAGCAAACCCAACCAGGTGCAAGTTTCTGAACGGGGAGAAGGGGACTCATCATTGGAACAAGCTACCAAGGGAAGTGGTGGACTCTTCCCCCTTTGACAGGTGCCTTTCGGGGAGATGGGTCCCAGCCACACACAAGTTCTTGGGATACCTACCTGGCAGGGTGATAACAAAAGGCGTGTGCTATCCCAGAGGCCAGACTTGACGATCTAACGGGCCTTTGGACTTCACCTGTCTCAACCAGAGCAGGGCTGCGTGGGCATAGAAGAGCAGGACGACATAGGATGTTACTGCATGGTGCAACCGGCCTGATTTTCCATTGCCTTGCATGACATGCTACTAGACAGCAGTTGGAGGTTTTACATAGATATAAGGCTACATGCCCCCCACCCCAAAGCAACATGTTTCCATGCAGATCTGCAACCCCACAGTAAGCTCTCCTCTGACTTTGCTTTTGCGGTCGATGCACCCTCAGAACTCAGCTGTCGACAGTCATATATCGCCTGGGACTTGCTAGGCTTCCCCTTGGGCACGATCTCCAAGCACTTCCAACCCAGCCACAGTCCTTGGTCCAGAGGTGACTTTCGCACCATTGACTCCTGAGAAGGGGGGGAAGGGGGTCACATGCCTCAAAGGCCTCAAGACAAGGGCAGCGAAGCCAGCGGTAAGGAACTGGCAGTAAACTGAGAATCCTGATTCCCAAGCATAAGCGGCGACCGCACATCCTCGCGGAGAGTTTGTGCTTAGCTAATCACTCCCAAGGAAGAGACACCTCCATTGATCCTGCAGACTCCTTGGAAAGGAAGAGCCTGGCTCCTAGTCAACTTTCATCCAAGCGTGAGCACAAACGCTGAGATCAGATAGAAAAGCAAACACCAAATCACCCCCTCATGATTAAATCATAAACAATGGCAGGCCCAGAAGTATAAATGCTAAGTGGCCTTTGGGACCTCTCTGGCAGGAGAAGCAAAAATAGCATGGGTTATCGCTACCTGCCAAAACCAGCTCCCTCCAACCAGAGAGTGCAAACACTTCGGCTAAGCTCAGACCACTTCTGCCTTCTTATCGGGAGTGGAGGAGTAGGACCGGGGGGCAACAGACTGCTGGGATCAGCTAGTTAAGGTCTCCTCAGGCCTTAATGGTGTTTTATGCCAGGGGTGGCTGACCCATGGGTAGCATGGGGCACATCAGGGAGAGGACAGGCAACTCAGCAGCAGATCAGACAGGGAGCAGAAAGCAGAGCAGGTCAGACAGGGGAAGGGGACTGGAACAGCACTTAGCGAGGGTGAGGGTCTTCACTTGTGGCATGCCCATCAAAAAGGTTGACCCCAACTGTTCTACACCACATAGGCATTTTAAACACATCATTTATACTTGAATATGGATTCAAGGGAGAAATTCCTTTCCAGGGCAGACCATTGTTTAGTGTCATGCTGCAGATTTAAGAATCACCATTTCATAGATTTTAAAGCCAAAAATGACCCCAGATCAATGCCCAGCTGACCCCTCCAGACTGCCCAGGCCAGGGCACGGCAGCCAGGTGCTCCCATAATTGAGTGTATTGTCTTTGCAGAGCTGCAAAATTACCCGACGCTGGTTAAAATCCAGGCAGGCCACGTCCCGGCAGCCTCAGGAAGCAGCTGATCACACACAGGCATCACGCCGAGATGAGGAGCATTCTCTTCTATCGACGCAGTGGGCTCATTTATTGGAGCATCTGCAACAAGGAGGGGAGGGGTCAATTTTCAAAATCTCCCGTTTCCCCCCGCCCATGCAAGCTAAAGACCCCTGTCCTTTGCTTCTTCCCCTGGCTTTACCTAGACCCCACTGAATCGCTGCCTGAGTTACCCTTGGCTGGCTTCTTTTCACTCTGTATTTCAGGGGGGTGATCAGCACCATGCACACTTCGTAAATCAGGCTGAACATTGCGCAGTTTGCAGCTCACTTGCGTGTTGTACCTGCTGAGAACTGCTGCTGCGTAATACTTCCACCGAGTTCCCCATCAGGAATCCGACAGCTTTGCTCAGAGGGCGCCGCAGGTCCAGAGCTCACGCATTTATTTCAGTCACATGCGTTTGCTTACGCTTCTCGCCGTTCAATTCCAGTTGTTGCTGTGCTTTTTTTAAACCCGTCACACTGAGCGTGGAGGGAAATCGGGGATCTCCCCACAGCTTGCATCAGCCAAAACAATTGTCACTGGTGAACTTCAGTGTGTGCTGCCCAGTTCTCAAGCCAGGAAGGGCAGGTGGTCTCAACAGCCCTCGGCTTTGGCTTCATCCTATTTGAAGCCGATGGTTTCACTCTCACGCATGTCAGGAGGAACAAGCACGCTCCCATAGGAGCAATGAAGCCAATTCAGAGGGTTTCAGCAAACCCCATGTTAACCTATGATGGGTCCTCTCTGTTCACCATTATGCCTGTTTGGGATCTGCTTCCTGTAAGCTTTCCTCCCTGCTCTGTCTGTGCCTTTCACCCAATTGCTGCTTTCCTGTATGGATTTAGAGGCAAAAGGTTTTTGTGGTCTCTTTTACTGAACCAGCAGCGTAGTAATGAAAGCTGTTGGACAAATGTTTGGATATCAAAAGGCTTGGAAATGCCCCTCCTTTATGAATTAAGAGACTCTGGAGAGACTTTAAGCAAAAAGCCCTGTAAACTCTACCCCCTGCATCAGCTTTTAACTTTTGCAAGCCAGTGGGACAGTTGAGAAAGGCGCAGTTCCCCCTTCCAGAAGTTGTGCTCGTTTGACCCAAAGTGCTGTACTACTCCTTCCTTAATTACAAGCTAATTCTCCAGCTGTGCTGCTTGGCATCCTCCAAGGCATAAGCTAAATGTTGTTCCGCCAGCAGAGCTGCTTATGAAGCAAGAAACTTCTTGTCATCATCCCAAGCACTTTGCGTTGGGCCCAGAAGGGCAATGCTGCTGGGTTAAGCTGGCCAGTATTCATGCCACGTTAGCCAGGACACTATCCATTTCCAACAACTTTCTTGACACGAGGCTAGCTATGCGAAGAACACACCTGATGTGCTGCCAGCGAGGGGGGAGGTGGGGATCCCGCAAAGTGTCATCTGTTGAGCAAAGACAGAACCCGCCAACCACATACTTGCCTAATGCAGTCCATCTATGTAGTTCTGCGGAGGACAGTACATCCACACACACGTATGAGACACGTTCCCGAGGTTAACCTCCACTCCTTGCTTCTCTGGTGCCACAGGACAACGGCTTATGTAAATATACAGTCATGTGGTACCCTCTAGCGGCCAGTCTTTAGAAAGGAAACATCTGCGATGCTCAGACACGCGGGACTGATCCCCTCTCACCTGCGTCCGAGTGTGTTATTAAAGAAAAGCAAATGTTTAAGACTGCTATGACTGGACTAGAGAGCAAGAATACTCATCCAAGTCACTTAAAGGATAAATCTGTAATCAGAGAACACTGATGTGAAGCTCTTTTTCTGGTATCTAGGGTGTAATCAAAGCTTTTTTTTTTTTTGCAAAAATTTAGTTGGTTTAATAAAAAGCATCACTTCAACCACGTGGTCCGAAGCTTTTTTCTGCAACTTGAAGCATACTTCCGAGTTCATAGGGCCTCAAAGTTTTCGACAGTGCAACAAAGCTCTGCTTGACTCCGGATCCGAACGAGCTGGTTTTTGGGTCTATTATTTTGATGCAGTCAAGCACTGAAAGCAACTGGAGTTCTCTCTCGTTGGAGGCAGTTATCTCTGGAATTCCCATGCGTCCGGGGCTATGCCTCAAGGCAGATGCCTACTCGGGAAGTTCGACATGCTTACTCTGCCTGCTGCACAGCTGAGTCTGGCATTGTAAGGAAGAAACAGATGGTCTCACTGACATGTAATTGGCCACAGCCCGTTACAACTTAAGTGTTTGAAGCACTTGGATTGCCTGCTGGGCTGTGGTCTTAGCTACAGCTCCCTCGCTTTGAAAATTCAGTGGATTTTGTGCTTTTGCAAATAAGCGGTCAGAGGAGCTAGATATAGTACAAGGGGGGACTCGCCCGCACAGAGCTGTGCCATAGCGCTCCACACCTATCCGTGGCCTCTTGACCCTTATTTCTGCCTCAAACAGATTTGACAGCATTGCATCTAATGAAGCTCCATGGACCTTTTGGGCCAGATGCAAAACAGAACTCCTGAGTATACTTGGTCACATGGAATAAAAATAGGGATTTAACTCTGGTATCCTGGCCAAAATGACTCTCAGGCTATCACGTTTTGCCTCCCTGTGTTCCCACCCTGGTTGCAGTTTCAACTTCACCTCTTGTAGTGAGCTGCTGCGTATTGTTGCTGGGCACAGCTACCTACTGTATATCCATCCCAAGAACTGCTCCCTTTCAGAGGTGGATGAACAAACATCTGTACATCTGTCTTGGTTTTTGGAGTGCCTGGAGATGTTTCGGTGTGAAAGCAGCAATCCTATTAGTTGCTGCGTCTTGCATTTGAGGTCATCTCCAGGAAACAGGACCCCTATTCAGCCTCTCCCTCACTAAACCCTTTTTGCTAGACTTCAATTAATGCATTATATGCCATTTCCCCCCGGACTCACCCTTAAAAGTTCCAATAGGAGGCTATACCTTGGGAGTTTATGCTGTGCTTTGGAACTTGCATGGACTCAAACAGGAAGAAATAAAAAACACCACTTATCTAAAAAGAAAATTTATTGCATTTTATGAAGCTTATAATACATGCACTGACAAACTATCACAACAGTTAGCAACATTTTTTTGTTTCCAGATTTCCCTTAGTGTTTCTGGAATAAACCAGGCCAAGTTAAAGCCTCTTTTGTCCTTAGAAAATACTTTTCTCGTAACACAAGGAATGTTTTTTTTCCAAAAGCTGCAAATATCCAATGTTCAAGCTTACCAAAAAAGGAGGCAGGAGAGGAAAGTCTCCCAAAACACACGCACGCACACCCCTACTGAGCTAACAGGATGGGATGACTTTGTCTAGTTCTATTCAGAGTCGAGTACAAACAGGATACTGGAAATAAAGCTCTTTTGGAAAACAAAACGCAGTACCCTTTAAAAAAATTTTACTGGAGAAAAAAAAAATGTTCGACTACATTGTCCAATATGATGCTATACATTTCTTTTTGCTTAATTATTTTCAGTTTCATAGGCTTGAACAAGCAGTGGAATATGTTGAAATATTGGTTTCCTTAAAAAAAAAAATATTGCATCCTTTCCAGTTTCTGTTGGATGTTCTCTCATACCCATCAGAGAAGGGCATATAATGCGCCAGAGATCATAGCCTACTATAGGCTTAATATCAAGTACAGATACACAGAAGAGGATGTGATCATCAGATGAGGTTGGTATGGCAGAAGTTAGGCTGGTGTGAGCCAGTTTCCACACCCACAGAATACTTGCTAGTGCAGCTTTTCAGTCCCCCGTCACCTGTGTTGTTTGTCCATCAGAGGTCTGATTGGTGGACTGAATAAACATGGGCTGGGTGATTTCCTGACCTGCAGGCATAGTTACTTGCTGAATCTGATAGAGTTGCTGTAAGAGATGAAAGGAGGGGAGAAGAGGTAGTTTAGTGCCATCAGGATAGTCAACAAGCATTCCCTTTAAGTCCCGTGCTAGTTGTTTAGTCTAAATTAATGTAGAAATCAGTTGTCAGAGCAAGTAAACTATGTTCCCTGCCTCAGATTAGGCCAGAAATCCCAACAGGCATTCAGTACTTAAATGGGACGGACGCTACGCTGAAAGAGTTTTGTGAATATCTAATAACCTGTTTGAATCTGACAGACTTTATTTTTACAAAACAATCTCTGTATAATCCCATTAGAGCTTGATTC